CCCCAAAACCCCAAAACCCCAAAACCCCAAAACCCCAAAATTTAGCAAATTTATAGAATAGTTTATTAAGCACTGTGAAATAAGTATGAAGAGGTCGACCAAAGATCCAAATGTCTTCCTTGATCGCTTGATCATGAAGAATATAGCTGAATTTGCACTGGAAAAGGTAAGTAATAAGTAGACCTTAGTTAAGAATTTTAGAACTTTAAGACAAGTGATCAAGTATCTTTGAACATTCTGTGCGAGATAGTCAAACAATTTGTTGGGAAATTAGCAGATATTACTAAGGACAGCTCTGAGCTTAATGGCAGGAGTGAATCTAATATGATAGATGCCCTTTCTGGGATCTTCAGGCATTCTAAGATTAATCAGAAGCAGATAATTCAACATATTAAGAAAAAGCCTTTCAAATATGAATGTTGGAATGAAGGTCTTATTGAGAAAATAATGAGTGAGCAACAAGAAAAAGCTGATAATTTCATCAAAACTCATTTTAAACACACCTTGCCAAATAATGCAGATGATTCTGCAGATGGATGAGTTGAGTTACCTGAGAATATTAAAAATTTTAAAGGGCTTCCAGCTATACCTCCATTCTTAAGAAATTTTCCTTCAAATTTATCACTCCAAAGTATGAAAAAGATTGAGTATAAAGATAAAGAAGAGAAGTCTACGAGTTTAAAAATCAAGAATAAGAGAGAGGTTGAAGATAAATTAGTAGAAGTGACGTTGCCGCCACCCAATCTTGAAGAAAAGGTTATCCCTAAACAGCCAGATAGCAGTAAGACATAAGTCTTAATTTACAGAGCCTGATCAAGACAATAAAGAAAAACATGAACACCCCCCTAAGGTCCCTGAAGGACATTCTCAGGAGGAGAATAAGACTGGAATTGAGCAGGTTGAAGACATTTTCAATGAAAGCCAACATTCAGGTGATGAAAATAAAGCATCAGAACTACTCAAGAAAAGAGGTTAGTGCCTAAGCTTATCTATACAGAGGATGATATCCCTGAAGAGATCCTCGAGAAATATAAAGAGGAGAAATCAGAGGCCAAGATCAAGAAGCGGACAAGGAAAGGTGTCATGAAAATCAAAGAGTCGAAGAACCTGTTTGTATAATTCACTGTAATCCCTTCAGTAATATCAAGTGCTTTAGGGGTTTTGGGGTTTTGGGGTTTTGGGG